TATATTATGTAAACAAACTTTTATTTTGGATGCGATTAATCGATTAATCGTTTCACAGCACTAGTTTATATTAAAAAATGTGTTTTTAAAAAAAATAAATGTATACTTTTATTAATCAAGGATGCATTCAGTATATAGTAATATTTATTACTTTGTAATATAGTAATATTGCTATATTCAAAATTATATTAATATAGTAATATTTCTTTAGTATTTTTATTTACTAAAAAAAGCGCGCGTGTGTGTGTGTTATATATAAATATATAAAATTATATGTAATGTCTTTATACATATTATTTTTTATATTATATTTTTATATACTTGTATTAATGAACTATTTAAATCAGTTATTTATATTTATTGGTGGTGCCCAGACGTTTTAATACAAAGGGCTAAAAATCAAACTTGATTGAGGGCTGTGGGCCAAAAGTGGATGTCGCATTATATCAACATATATTAAAATGTGTTACATTTTATTAAATAATTAACTTTTTTTAAATTATTTTGTCAAATTCAAAATCACATTTGTTTTTCACTGCAAAAAAAAAAAATCATCTTGGGTGAAATGTTTAAATTAGTGCTGTCAAATGATTAATCGCATCCAAAATAAAAGTTTTTGTTTACATAATATATGTGTACTGTGTATATTTATTATGCATATATAAAATGATTTCTGAAGATCATGTGACACTGAAGACTGGAGTAATGATGCTGAAAATACAGCTGCACATCACAGAAATACATTACAGTTTAACAGATATTCACATAGAAAACAGCTGTTTTACATTCTAATAATATTTCCCAATTTTACTCTATTTTTTAAATCAAATGAATGCAGCTTTGGTGAGCAGCAGAGACTTATTTCAGAAATCCTACTTCATGCACACTACTTTTGAACAGTTGTGTATCTATATTTGTGTATGATGGTGTTTCTGATTTGCTGTCTCTAATTAGTTTTAGTTGTTCTATAATGAGATTGTTATTGCTGCATGCTGTATTGATCTGGTTTTCTCTCAGTATGGATGTGCAGGGCGACTACGACCCCTGCGACGCCTCTGGATTCATCAGGATCAATGCGGTCAGGTCAGTCAAAGCAGTCTGAATGAGCGTGAGCTGTGTGTGTATCTGATCAAGGTGCTTCAGAGAGGATCTGCTGTGTTTCAGGCTGCGGGAACACAACCGTCTGCAGGGAGCCGCTCAGAAGAAGCTCTGAAGATCTCGGTGATTCTGTTACTGATTTCAAATCTGGGGCCAGGTGTTCAGAAAGTTTAATCTGGATCAGAATGATCTGGATTTGGAAATCCCATACACACTTTTCCAGATTTCCAAATCTGGATTAATAGAGCTCTACGGAGCCCCTAAAGGGACATAGTGATGTTTTGCATTCTAGTTTTGCATTGCATTTACACAAATAACTACTTCTGGCTGCTCCATCTCTGATGATTGTGCCAATGTAGTTTACAAGCAGTGATTAAAAACAAACAAACTTTAAATTAAATAAATATTTTTGTTTGATATTGCCAGCTGTTTGGGGATATATTGCATGTTACAAATGTTGTATCTTTTGGAACAGTTTTAAAGTTTTATTACATTTTTGTTCCTGAAATCCACCCTTCTGCTGGGATCAGAATAATCCATTTTTTTTTAATCAAAAGTATCCCAGTCTTACTAAAACGTTTTGAACAACACAAACTGAAGATTTAATCCAGATCAAAACCAAAAGATTGGATTTTGTGATCTGATCCGAATTCAGAATCCTTTTTTTCTTTTGAACAACCCATTTTCAAGATTCGATCCAATCCGATGGCCAACATCCGATCAGATTACTTTTGAACAACTGGCCCCTGACGATATATAAAAAAAGAAATAACATGAATTTGTGCATTTTAATGTGTTTGAAAGACAAAAGACTTCCAAAGACACAGTAATCCATGATTAAATAACCGTCTGAGTGATAATAATCAATCGTGTAATCAATAAAAAAGTAACTGTAGTCTGAGTACGAGTATTTTAAAAAGTAATTTAATCTAATTACAAGTACTTAATTTTTGGAATATGATTATGTAATCCAGATTACATGTAATCAGCTACTAAATATAATATTTTTGTTTGATATTGACAGCTGTTTGGGGATTTGGGGATATATTACATATGATATATATGTTACAAATGTTGTACTTTTTGGGCCAATTTTAAAGTTTTATTACATTTTTGTTCCTGAAATCCACCCTTCTGCTGGGATCAGAATAATCCATTTTTTTTTAATCAAAAGTATCCCAGTCTTACTAAAACGTTTTGAACAACACAAACTGAAGATTTAATCCAGATCAAAACCAAAAGATTGGATTTTGTGATCTGATCCGAATTCAGAATCCTTTTTTTCTTTTGAACAACCCATTTTCAAGATTCGATCCAATCCGATGGCCAACATCCGATCAGATTACTTTTGAACAACTGGCCCCTGACGATATATAAAAAAAGAAATAACATGAATTTGTGCATTTTAATGTGTTTGAAAGACAAAAGACTTCCAAAGACACAGTAATCCATGATTAAATAACCGTCTGAGTGATAATAATCAATCGTGTAATCAATAAAAAAGTAACTGTAGTCTGAGTACGAGTATTTTAAAAAGTAATTTAATCTAATTACAAGTACTTAATTTTTGGAATATGATTATGTAATCCAGATTACATGTAATCAGCTACTACCCAGCTCTGCATGTAACTATCACCATACAGCCTGTTACTGAAGAAATCTGATTAAAACACCCAAAATATGCCAAATCTGTTTGTCAGTCATGTGATTTATGCACATTTATGCATTTACATTTATGCATTTTACACATTAATTTTGCACTTATGCATTTACATTCTGCATTTGCATTTATGCACTTTATACTTATGCATTTTACACATGCATTTTACACTTACACATTTACATTTATGCATTTTACATTATTGCATTTTACAATACATTTTTGCATTTTACTCATGCATTTATGCTTACAAATTTTACAATATGCATTTTACATTAATGCATTTTACAATACATTTATGCATTTTACTCATGCATTTACATTTATGCATTTTACACTATACATTTTACATTTTTGCATTTTACTCATGCATTTACACTTACAAATTTTACAATATGCATTTACATTAATGCATTTTACAAAACATTTATGCATTGTACTCTTATGCATTTACATTTATGCATTTTACAGTACATTTATGAATTTACACTTCTGCATTATACAGTACATTTATGAATTTACACTTCTGCATTATACAGTACATTGATGCATTTGAATTTATGCATTTACGCTTATGAATTTTACACTTATGCATTTACATGTATGCATTTACCCTTATGCATTTAGCTGTTGCTTTTATACAAAGCAACTTACGAAAGGGGAACAAAAGCAATTCATCAAAAGACAGACATGAATGATCCTATGATTATTGTTCAACATGTATAATGTGACAGTCCTTTAATTCTAATTTCTGATTGAATGAGCTGCATTTGAAGCCCTTAGATATGAAAGCAGCAGGTACTTCAGACGTCCTTCAGTCCATCAGTCTGATGTTTACTGTGCTTTAAATCATCAGTTTCTCATTGCAGATCTTCCTCTCAGCCCAGGCTTTTAAAGCAAAGAGAAAGAACAAATAACTATCATGATGTGACATCCGTGATGTTTTCAGTCCTCGGCAAAGCCATTTACTCTCCATCAACAAATACTTCTGCACTTCTTCCTCTTAAGGTGCCAAACTGTGGCTTTCTGCTCCCTTTCCATTTCTGTCGTGCTCGTCGAATGTTGTTCTTTGGTGGGGACAGAACCTGAATCCCCCCCGCTGCTGGTAATAGACGGCAGGGATGCGTTCAGTCTTTCAGCCAGACCAGAATCCCCTGCTTCAGCTGCTCAATTACACCGCAGGCGTCTCCATCCGCTCCTCCAATTACACCACCGGCCCCCTTTATTTACAAGCATGTGCATACGTGAAGACAAATTGCCTGGAGATCTCTCAGGCCTGCTGCAATTTGGACGTTTCTTCTGCCGAGATGAAGCCACTGTTGAATTAGTTGCTCAGGCTGAAGGAGCGTCACATACTGCGCTTATGCTTTCTGCTCCACTGTACAATGTGAACGCTGAGCACATTTTCTGTATGTATGCAATACATGCAACTTCCAAAAGACAAAAAAGGTAAATGAATTAGTTTTGAGGTCAAAATATGTCATTTAGCTATGGAAACCCATTTCTGCCACTGAATTAAAAAATTGCAATTATGACTTTATATCTCGCAGTTATGACTATAACTCGCAATCATGATTTTTTTTTACAATTATGACTTTAGATCTCGCAATTATGACTTTGTATCTTGCAATTATTACTTTTTTCGCAATTGTGACTATAGCTCGCAATCATGAATTTTTTGCAATTATTACTTTTTCGCAATTGATTATATCTCACAATTATGACTTTTTTCTTACAATTATTTTTTTTTCACAATTATGACTTTTTTCTCACAATTATGATTTTTTTCACAATTATGACTTTATATCTCACAATTATGACTTTTTCTTGCAATTTTGACTTTGTATCTTGTAATTATTACTTTTTTCGCAATTATGACTATATCTTGCAATCATGACTTTTTTCACAATTATGACTTTTTTCGTGCAGATGACTTTTTTCACAATTATGACTTTGTATCTTGCAATTATGACTTTGTATCTTGCAATTCTGGCTTTTGTCTTGCAATTCTGAGTTTATATTTCACAATTCTGTTTTTTGTTTCTACTACAAAATATAAAATATAAAAAGGTAATTGTGACATTTAATCTCAGACCAGAACACTTTTTCACTGGAGGAAGCGTTATTATGGATTATGAACTCAATGTATTTGAGTTAAAACCGTCTTAATGCTGGATGTGTTTCAGCTTTTGTCTTCTCCAGATGTTAACTGCTGGACTGGAGTGCTGTGGATTACTTGTGGATTATTGTGATGTTTTTATCAGCTGTTTGGACTCTCATTCTGACGGCACCCATTCACTGCAGAGCATCCATTGCTGAGACACTGATGCAATGCTACATTTCTACAAACCTGATGAAGAAACAAACTCATATGTATACTCATCTGATGGCCTGAGGGTAAATTTGAATTTTTGGGTGAACTATTCCTTTAAATTTATTGACAACTTGCATATTCTGCAAGGGGGTGTAAACTTATGAGCAGAACTGTAAATGATAGACTATCAGGATTTGAAACTATAAAATGACAGATTATCCTGACTCACAGTTTTAGGAAAAAGAGCCAGAAAAAAAACCTGATGCATGACTGACATGCACTGAGTACTCTTTCCCAGAATGCAATGTGCTTGACTTGATCTCTGAATCAGCATTAGTATGTTCGTCTGCTGTGGTGTTTGTTTCAGCTCATGTGTTTGCCGCAGACAGGAAGTGGAGTCAGCAGCTTCCTGTGTCTCACGTTCTCAGATCTTCTACCTGTCAGTCGAGGTATGAAAGCATGGCGAGCCATCCAGGTGAATTAATGATCCGTGACCTTCCCTCAATTACGTCTCATTACGCCGCAGCCCCGAGGGATTCTGGGACACAATGGGAAGACATGAGAATTAAGAGTCGTCTCTGAAAGCCAATCCTGCTGTCTGTCACTCAAAGTCACACAAAGAGCTGCTCTGTTCAGACAAAACCCTTCGTTTCGCTTCATTTCTGATTATAGCTGTGTTCAGGGCACAGATTTACCAGAGTAAACAGTAAAACACAAGCGTTACTATAGTTCTCTGTAAAAATCACAATAAATCAACATGCAAATAGTTAGACACTGAAGTTACACTAAAGCATTATCAGTAACTAAAATTAAAACGATTAATGTTTGTGTGTGAGTGTGTGAGTGTGTGTGTAAAATTAAAACCATTACAAAATAATAAATACATACATAGATTTTCACCTTGAATTGCTAAAACTAAACCTGAAATAAAAATTAATAAAAACTAAATATACTTATATATAAATATTTAAATATATTTGTATTTATATATTATATATTTAAATATAGAAAATATATATATATTAAAAAATAATAATAATAAAAAGACAAAAGTACTACAAAATAAAAAATAAACTAAAATGAAAATGGAAAATATATATTTTTTATTAAAAATATTAATACAATTATATTAATTAGTGCTATTTTAATATCTTGAAAAAATATATTATAGTTTTTATTAATAATTTCAATTAAATTATATTCTTCATTATTATCTTTTTAAAGTTTTAGTAATTTTGTTGTTTTTGTCATTTTATTTAATAAAAAAAAATATATATCTAGTTTTTGTTCATTTTCATTTTGCTTTTAGTTTGAGTTATTTTAGTGCATCAAGTTAAACTAAATGAAAAAGATAAAATGTTTATTTTATGTCAAGTTACGAAAATGTTTTTACTTTTAGTTAATTATAATCACCCTGATATTAATAATACAAAACCCCCCTGGAAATAGAAATGTAAATGTTTATACTGTAATTTGTTTTCATTCACATTTTATTGTAACGAAAATGTTTTTTTTTATGATTTTAGTTAATCACCCTGATATTAATGATACTTAAGAAAGCAGTGATTTATACTGTAATTTGCTTTCATTCGACCATCTTTTGCTCGTCTGTTTGCGTTCACATGTCTTCCAGTGTTCTCGTTTACGCTTTACTGGAGTCTGAACTGAAGCTTTGTAATCCTCTGCTGTCATGAAGTCAATCAGGTGAACCTGAGAAGAGTCACCTGCATCTCGTTGATCTGTGTTCTGCACAATGATCGCAGGCCTTTATTAACATCAATTATAGTAACCCAAGACTCACACGGGCCCCTGCTGCTCCGCGGAGGCCCCTCGTCTCACTTGTTAAGGGCCATTAAGGGTCAGCGGACAATTATGTCAAATGACATGGAGATCCAGGAGAAGGTACAGAAGCGAAGCCTGTTTGAAGTCAGTGTTAATTTCTTCGTCAACGACATTTTTTTCA